TTTTTTTTTATAATATTTATTTGATTTAATTTTGTTTATATTTTTGTAGACATACATGCGTATAACAGTTGAAAATAAATTGAACATCAATTAAATTAATTATTTATTTATTTCGAAAAAACTTTTATATGCAATTGTTTTCCATAACTTGAAGATATTTTTCATTTAGATTTAGTTTATCAGATGCATGTAGAAAAAACAGCCTGTAATATGCAATGCCGTTGCAGCTTTTTCCAGGCATCTAAAGTCTTTTTGTAGCGGATATTAGTGCCCTATATATTTCCTATATAGTTGAAGAAAATCCTATGTAAACGCTGCTTTTCAATTCCTATATATTCCTATATTTCCACAGAGTGGCGCTACGAAGCCAGCGTTTAACTTCATTCGTCTCACTTTAGTGTCAATAATGACATTATTTTACGTGTTGGTCAAAATAGTCATGATGGAAACTGATCGAACTAGATCATGACGATATGTTTTCTGGTTGATAACTTGTTTATTTGTAAATTTAAACATTTACTACTAATATAGATAGAATTGTTATCAACTATAGAAACGACTAGACGGCAAATAATGATTTGGATGTCATTAAAAAAGGTGCCATATATTCTTGCTTTTGATAACCTTAACGATAAATGTCGGTTGGAGGACTGGTTTCTCTTGTTGACCGAATTTTTTGGAATGCTTTTCATCCAATATTACGATGACACATCTCAGTCTGATAACCACTAATGGTATCACATAAAATGCGGTCACCATACAGAACCTGCTCCAGGTTTTTAAGAACTTCAAAAAGTATCAAAATTCAAGCAATTACCAAGGACGTAAATTTTATATCTATCGTTTACTTCGAAAAGATATCTAAAGAGTGGGTTACAAGGATAAAACTTCCTATGGAATATCGCAGCAACTACCTCGAGCATAGGCGGCGGAAGCTGGAGGCTGGGTGAGGCATGAGTCTCACCCGAATTTGGTGTCTGGAGGCTCAGCCTTACCCAAATTATGAATACGATATTTTTTTGCACGATGGTTTAGACTTATCAAATGAATATTATTTCAGTGCGAAGATCCGAACTTCTAATATATTTATTTATATGTTGTGATCATAGGCGTCGGAACGTATAGGCTTGATAGGCTTGAGCCTCACCAGAAATGGGCACTATTAAGCTGAGCCTCACCAGAATTAGAATTTCAAGGATGGGTCAAATTCGAATCTGATATTATTTGGCTAGATCAACCTTATATCAGTTAAGATATTGAAACGTTTTACGCGTTTATGTATATATAATGATGAAGCAAACTTAAAAAACGAGACGGTAATAAAGCCTACTATCTATGCCGTCATAATTCGTCACAACATCTTTGTTTTATTCACATAAAGTGTTCTACAAACCAAAACGATTATAGAGTAATGCAGTCAATGTCAGAACTATTTGTATTCAAGCGTTTATCTTCACCTTCGTGATGTATCACTCATTTCTCTATATTGAGTGAAAGCACAGTCCTAACAGAGTGTGGATGTGGACACAGGGGAAATAACAGATTCCGGGGTTCCTGGGTCCCATGTGATTCCGAGGAACTCCAAGATATTTTCAAGATCTAAAAAACGGTAGAATTATTTGAGAATCCTTCAGTCTCTTTTATCATACGAATGTTTCCTGTTCAATGCTCTATGATGCACAGTGAAGGACCACGGTACTACTATAAAGTGTGATGTAAATATTCACACAAGCGGTGTGAATAGTACTTAGTAATTTCGATCTTAAAAAAGGATTACCTGACTACTGTCAATAGCTTGTATTTTAGGTTGATAATCAAATTGAAAAAGATAAATGTTAATGGAAACAAAAATAAAAACAAAACCTATAATTATTCAATAGCTGAAACCTGTGAAACAACAATAAGTAAATCAGTTAGTAATGGTGTAGGTGTGTGGGTGTGAAAGCAAAATCAACAATCCACACCCACACAGTGGACAGCCAGGCGACAAAATCAATTTTCGAGATTCGAACCCATATCGTAGCTAGCATTGAAGCTACTATGGTCCTGATTTAAGAGTATCTTGGATGTCGCTCTATAGCGAGTATGCATTAAATATCAGGTACCACAAAGTACGTAAAATAGGTGAATATCATTAATTAGACCATATAAGTAAAATTTTTTTTAATTGATGATCTATTTATATTTTGTAGTCATCAAATAGTTGTACAGTGTTATGTATTTACTATATATTACAGGCCGTCCGGACTTCTTGAAGCTCTTTAGGCTATAATAAGATCAAAAACTTCCAATCAGTATGGTGAAAAATAGTCACTGATCCATAATGCAGTTCATTTGCTGGATTTTGTCGGAGTTCAAATGGAAGTTTTAATCTATCTTTTGATAGCACGTATCATCATCTATCTTCAATAGATCCTCAAAGATGCGCCATTGAACCCTTGTCGAGATTTTTTATTTTTATGACATTTTTTAGTACACCGTCGTGGTCTCCCTCAAGCTCACTTAAAAATCGACTTTCGAATTTCGACTTGAAACTTTGAGCAGAGAAAGGTCTCAATGAGACTGGTTTATTCTGAAATTCGAAAATTTCTTAGTTGCTCCTATCTTTAAATATGAACACTTAATATTTTGTGCTTTAAGTAATGTGAGAAAAAAGTACTTTTTCTTACACTCGTATCTCAAGACAGAAGGAACCAAAAAATCTGAAACCGTCAGAACAAACTAGTCCGATTGAGACCCTTCTCTGTACAAATTTTCAAATCGAAATTTGAAAGTTGATTTTTCAAGTAAATCTGACGAAGACCACGGTGGTCTGCTGAAAATTGCTGTAAAAATCAAATATCTTGATAGAAATAAGCAAGAAACCCGAGTCTTTTTTAGAGTGTTCATAGCTCATTAGAGCCTACATAATGCACATAGTCTCGATCCAATAGCGATCTGGCATCTGGCAATTGCTTCTGATCCCTTTTTTCTGTCCAACGTGACCCACACCCTCCAGATGGCTGCGACCGATCTCCTCAATTATTTCTATCCTATCTGATATAATGATCGACAAAAAAATTAAGAAATAGCTGTTTCTAATTTTTGTCAAGGGCTTTTGCAGGCAAATCGAAAATATTTCGGCATTCCATGGGACTTCAACGGTTCCATGACGTTACAAGGGACTCCAAAGAGTTGAAATCTGCGGTTTTCCCTTTGGGGTGTTGGTGTGGATGTCGGAGAAGAAAAGAAAATAAACCAAAGCCAACACCCATCCACATCCACATCCTTTCGTCAACGAAGACATTGATAGAAGAAAAAAGTTACTTAGGATAATAAAAAAAAGTTTTTTACTGAGCCTCACCTGATTTGGAAACGTTCCGCCGCCCCTGACCTCGAGTATATGCTGTAGACATATGGATGAAATATCGCTTCTCTGAATAAACTATAGCGAGTTCCGGGAACTTTTGGATCACCCATAGTATTATTTAGTTTTTGTTTTAAACAAGATGGTTCAATAATTTCTCCTTCATTACTTCATATTAATGAAATTGATGTTATTGATTTAACTCCATTTTTATGTTATAAATCCAAACAGTATTTATTAATTTTACATAAATCTTTTCTTATTTTTTCTTTCAATAGAATGAAACAATTATTAAAAGATCAAAATAATGATGAAGAAAATAAACAACTAATACCAATGTTAGCAAATATAAATGAATTAAAACCATTAAATCCACCTGAACATGAAATGATTTCATTAGAAAAATATAAACTTGAACTTGAACAATGTGTAAAAAGAAATTTATTATACAAAATGACAAATAAATTGAATATTTTAGAAATATTTGGAAGAACTTTTACGACATCGTGATCGTGAATTATAACAATTAAAAGTTCGTTTTGAAACATTAAAAACTGAACGTGATAATGAAATAAAGACTATGGAAAATGTTATTATTGAACTTCAACTTGAATTGTTTGTATTGAATAATATCAAATTTCATTAAGAAAATTTTTTTTTCAATAGACGAGCTGCACGAGATGAAGCTGAACTTAAACGTAAAAAGTCTCAACAATCAACATCAACAAAAAATCTTTTTAATTTTTCTAATCGAAAAATAAATTCACCAACAACACCAACCAATACTCAAAATGAAGATATTGATACGTAAGTCATTATGAGATCAATCAATATCCATAAACTAAATCAAATCTTAATGTTATCTGCTATATTCAACAGAGTCATTGTAGTTACCTTAATACAGTGATGTAACCAGAAATTTTTTGGAGGGACGGACCATCATAGAAAATACGGCGCTTCTTGGCTTGTGAAAATGAAGCAGTTCGTACCCTCCTCCAGATATTTACGTCTGTCCGGGTGGGAGTTGCCTCCCTCTGATTGCGTCACTGCCTTAATACTAATACTGATTCAATGTAATCATTCCAGAGACATGTGACAATTCCAACCGATACTAGTTTCATCTAAATTTGAACTTGATATATTTTTTTAGACAAATGCGTCCAATTGATGCTTCTTTTATAACAGATCATAAAGAAGTAAGTTTTATTTAAATAATATTTTGCTTTATTCCAATATAAATATATAAAAATTTAGTCATCAAATTTACTTGTCGAAAATATAAATAAAAAAACTTCGAATGATTTTATTTATTCTTCATTACAATCATCTCGTCGTTCAAGTCATTCAACAAATACAGATGATGATCAATATGAACTTGTTCGTCATTTATCATCAACTAATAATAATGAACAAAATCAAATAACAACAGAAATTAAAGATACATCAAGTCCTGAAATGGTTTCATCCGCAACATCTCTTTCATCAACATCATCAAATGATGAAAATGAATCAAAAGACCAAACAATAATTAAAATTGAAAATGATAAAACATCAATAACATATGAATCTGGTCGATTTGAACCCGTTAAAATGACAACTGAACAAGCAAATTTATTAGAAGAAGCCAGTAGAACAGAATAAAAAATTAAGTCCCTTTAGGACCGACATGGTCGTGGGGTTTTCATTGCTAATAATAAAAAGAATAAAAAATTAATTATGCATATGTATATACATTATCGTAGTCTTTTCTTTTTTTTTCTCAATTTATTTCCTATTTCAATATGTATGTAATTTTAAATGATTCTTTTCTTGTTTTTCTACGTATAACGTTCATATGAGCAATGAATGAAATTGTTTTTGTTATTATAAAAAAACATCATGTTAAATTTGTGATATTATATTATTGTGATTGTAATTTTACTCTTGAAGAGTGAAAATAGAAAGAAAAAAAAAGTCTAATTATTGAAAACATATTCAGGTCAAAATCCAACATTCTTTTTTATTTTTAAAATTTGCTTGTTATCAGTGTTTTATATAAATTGTGTTTTGAGAATAACACAAGAAATTTGCTCAAGTCATCATGTCGACATTATTTGATATAGTTGATGCTGCTAATCGTCGTTTTGAAGAACTTTTTAATAGTAATAAACTTAATGAATTAGTTGAACTTTATACATCTAATGGTAAACTTTTACCACCGGATAAAAATAAATATGAAAGACGTGAACAAATAAAACAATTTTGGGAAAGTACCAAAAGTGCTGGTGTAAATAATTTATATCTTACAATAGAAACAGTTTTAGAAGCAGGAAATGATCGATTAGTTGAAACAAGTTCATATGAACATTCTTTAGATAAAGGAAATTATTAAGTTATATGGAAATATGTTAATGAACAAGGAAAAGATCAATGGCAATTAGATATTAATATTTTTAATTAATTTTTTATTTTCCAATAAATTTTTTTTTTCACATATCATTCTTTTACATTATTTTTGATTGTAAACAATTGTCATTGGACTTTATTTATTTAAATGTGTATATTGTTCTATCGTACAAATGGAAAATAAACATGAAAATTTATCATATATTTGAATAAGAGTTCAATTTAAAGACAATAATTAGTGTCTAACGATTTTATTCAAATTACATTAATTCACAAATACAAGAAAAAATTTTCATTGTTTTTTATTATCAATGATTGATGTTTCTTTTTTCTATCAACTAATTATTCTTAAAAATTAAATTAGAATAAAACATTTTTTTATTTATTACATAAATTAGATCTTCGATAAACATTTCTAATATATTATCAATATATTTTCAATATTGAAAGTTTTATTTTATTTTTATCCATTTTTTTTCTTCTTAATCTAAATAATTATATGAAGAATTATTATTAACAAAAAAAAATACTTCAAATTATTTTAGAATTATTATATTTCATAATACTTAAACAATTTCTTATAATAATTAAGACAAATATATTTCATTATTTTATTTATTTTTCATTAATTATTCTTCTTACTAAACAAATCACATAAACACATTGTCAAAATAAACAAACAAAACCAAAAAAATCTCGATTGGAACTTGTAACATTTTTTTTTTCTTTCTTCTCTGTTAAAAATAAATAAAATAAAATAAATATAACAGAAGTGTAATGTGATGTTTTTAAATTTCAATATATATAAATAATAGACTATCCTAAAAAAAAAGTATATTGTTTATTATACTACAAATATCTAATCACATTTTTCATTTTTGTCGAGTTACTATGTAACACTCGAATGTACATAAATATTTTCTTAATTTTTCATTTAAAAAATATATTATACAAAAAAAATAAAATTACAATAATCATCATCGAGCGCCCTCTTTTCCTATGTCTTCCTCTATGAATAGACTAAAACAATGTCTTTTTAAACAAAGGTGACTTTGTTTTTACTTGCACTTCTATTCAATTTATACCAGTTATATATCGAATTTCATAAACTTCATCAAAAATTTCTTTTTTTTTTTTCTTTTATAGATAAATAATAAATTAACAATTAAATAAGCTATGGCTTTAAATGATCCTTTGTGGGGAAAAACCTCCGAAGAGCTAAAACTCATGATAGAATTTAATAAAACACAAATACAAGCTGAACAAGCAAAAATACAAGCTGCACATGCAATAGAAAGCGCAGCAGAAAAGGAATTACTCGTTGAACAAGCAAGAATACAAACTGAACAAGCAAGAATACAAACTGAACAAGCAAAAATACAAGCTGCACATGCAATAGAAAGCGCAGCAGAAAAGGAATTACTTGTTCTAGAAAGAAAAAGAGCCTCAGTGCATGACAAACGAGCAAGAGACAACGAAGAGTACAATGATACAAAACGAATAAAAACACAATACGAAGGAAGTCCTTGTTCATCTACTTCTAAATGTAGTTCATCAATGAGCCATCGTAATTTTTACAAGTCGTTTGTAAAAGATGATATTAAGTCATTCAATATTGAAGATGTAATAAATAATTATGATGGTGTTAATGAAGAAATGATAAAACTTATTAAATCTGATTTGAGTTTATGCGAATCAAATAATATAAACGAACGTGGCGTTCAAAACATATTTAATGCTTTAATGCCTAAATTTTTGTCTCAATTTATTAATTCAACATCGTTGAAATATTTAAACACATCTGAAATACGATGTTTACGTAGTTATAAACCTGATTGTGCTTTTATATTCAAAAATGTTAATATTAATATGTCAATACAACATGAAGTTTTAGAAGATTTTATCATTTGCCTTGGTGAATTCAAAAAACCAACATCGCCTCTTCATAATTCATGCAAAGCTGACAATTTGATTCGTTATATGAATGATACATTAGACGCACAACAACGTGAAAAAATTTATGGTTTTATAACAAATATTAACACAATAAAATTTTTTTATGCTGAAAAGAAAAATAATCAAGATACTGTTTATTATGAAAGTCAACTCTTAGTGTTATGTAACTTACCTAAAATATCAGTATCATCATCAGTAACAGGATCATCTGTTAGAGAAAAACAAACAATTGAAAAATTTAATTTTAATGATGAAACAGTTAAATTATTTATAAAATTTTTCATAATGGATCCGAATTTTTATCAATATACAAGATTAAATATTAATCCTAATGATTATTTACATGATGATATATTTCATATTACAATGAAATCAGGATTTGGTGCAACTTCAATCGTTTATTTATTACAAAATATTAAAAGTAATAAAGGTGCGGTATTAAAAATTTCTAAACATGATGATTATTCTGTTTATTTTCAAAATGAAGTTCAAATATTAAAAAAATTAAAAAAATTCAATATTTTAAATAAATTTGATTTATTTTTTGAAAATATTATTGATTCATCATCTTCAGGTAAGATTTGTTTATTAAAACAAATTTTTTTTTAATGTTTTCAATAATTGGAATTACTTATTAAAAAATGAGATTGATAAAATTTTGTTTGATTTTTAGAGAATATTAAAAAAAAAATATAAGGGAATAGAAGATTTAATCAAAAACTGGTTTTATAGAAATTATTATTTTTTTTTTATTTAGATAAATTTATTATGTTTGAACAGTGTTTACATAAATTGACAAAATTAACATTACGTCAATCAAAACAACTTATTGATGTTATTGAATATTTATATAAATGTAATATAATACATCGTGATATACGTCCAACAAACATAATGGTGGATGTTTATGGAAAGCGTATAAAATTAATTGATTTTGGTTTTGCAAAAGAATTTGAAACAAATGAAATAGAAAAAAACTTACTTATTGAAGGAACAATTTCATATGGTCATTTGAAATTTCTGTATTCTTTTTCTGAAGAAGAACAAGATGATTCATTAACTGTTACACATTATAAATATGAACGAACATTTGATCTTTATTGTGCAATAAATGTCATTATTTGTATGACGCATAGAGAATTTGATAAAAAATTGCGTTCAGCTAAACGTGAATCAACTGATCAACATGGAGTATCAAAGGTATATTATTTGTGGTTGAAATTAAAAGAAAATAATGAAAATTATTCAGAATTATTAAAATTAATCGACAATTCAAATGGATCACCATATTTTAATATTGTTAAAGATAATTTAGAAAAACTTGAAAAACTTAAATATTAAAATTATCTTTAAAATTCAATATACATTCATATTAGTAATATAAACTTCTAAGTCATTTGTTATTCAATATATTTTTTTTCTTTATTTTTTTTGTTCTTGTTAATGTTAATTATGATGAAAAACTAAATGATAGAATAAAAAAAAAGATGATTTATTACATTTATTTATTTGATCTAGTTTGAGATACAAAAATAGACATCATTATTGAAAATTTATCTATTTAATATAATATTTTATTTTCAAAACATTTATATTGAATTGATGCAACAGTATCCGCCGATTTGTTTTTTTTCTTTTTAATGTTTCATAATTTTATTGAAACAAAACAACATCAATCAATAACATATATACCATTGTTATCTATGACATACTCCAATCTCTTAGGCAAATTCAGAATGTCATCTTCAAAGAATTTCTTGGACAAAGACTGCAAGAAACTTTCGAAGTCTGACTTTAAGTGTGTTTCATCGTCGAAGTGTTTCTGGAGCAGAGGATTGCGAAGCGAGGGGAATAAATGATAATCGGAGGGTGCTAAGTCTGGTGAAAACAGTGGATGGGGTAGGAGTTCCCAGTCCAGTTCTTCCAGCTTTTGACTGGTGACTTTTGATGTATGAGGTCTAGCGTTATCGTGAAGCAGCCGAAGTTATCGTCGTTCTGGACACTTGGATTGAATTGCCACCTTCAAATTTTCGAGTTGTGTGCAGTAAACCTTGGAGTCTACTGTGGTGTTAGGAGAAAGAAGTTCGTAGTAGATAACACCTTAAAAATTCCACCAAATTGATAGCATTACCTTTTTTGAGTGCAGGTCGTTTTTCGCCTCTGGCTCCGGCATATCTTCAGGATTGAGCTACTGGCGCTTGCGTGTATGATTAACATAGAGTACTCACTTTTCATCACCAGTGACAATTTACTGGAAAAACCTGTATCGATTGCGCTTAGACAAGAAAAAGTTGCAGATGATGATTCTGCGTTGCATGTTGTCTGATGAGAGTTGATGTGGAACCCATGTACCAAGTTTATTGACTTTTCCCAATTGATACAAGTGACGACCGATCGTGGATTAGTTGCAGCCTAGCATTGCTGACAATTCACGTGTGGTTAGTCGTGGATTGTCTTCTATCAATGCTTTTAATTGTTCAACATCGAATTCGAGTGAACGTCCAGACTTTGGTTGATCCTCCAATGACAAGTCGCCTTCTCGGAATCTTTTGAACCAATCACGACATGTGTGATCAGCAACTGCATTTTTGCCGAGAGCAACACATATATTAAGAGCAGCAGTATTTGCATTGTTCCCGAGCTGGAACTCATACAACATACAATGTCGAATATACATAGAGATCTCGGATATTTTTTAATCTAAAATGTTTACACTTGAGAATATCCATTAAGGTTCCCCTCAAAAAAAAAGTCAATTTTCGTCAGAATTTTCGAAATTGAGATAAATGTATGGAAACATAGCCCATCTCCTGCTCTTTCAGAAACGATATTGGTTTCTCTTCGGTACCTTGTTTTTGACCAAAATGTCCGATGATTTTCGTTAACCTCTTCTCGAAAAATATGCTTATTTTGAAAAAAACGAAAAATGTTTTTCGTTTTTTCTCGGTTTATGATTTTTTTTGACTTTCATACAAGGATTTCTCGGTCCAGTGTCATTTAATATATTTAAATTTTTTATTGTTTGAAAGA